TTTTCCCAGCACCATTTGTTGAAGATGCTATCCTTCCTCCATTGCATGCTTTTAGCCCCTTTATCAAAAATAAGATAGTTGTAGTTTTGTGGATTGGTTACTGTGTCCTCTATTCTGTACCATCATCTGAATTTTTTGAAGGTAACCTGTTTTTATTCTGTAACCCCAAATAGTGAGTAATAGTCAATATATTTATTTCCTTAATAACTTCATTCAAATGGTTGTGACTCCTGATATACCACTGCATCAACCTTTTCTTATTCTGTATAACCAATTCATGGTTCAGCGGGACAATACTAAGGGACCCTAACCATTTCTTTCCCAAGGGATGCTGATTCATTACTTGCTTAAACAAAGTCTTTTTCTTACCATTCTTTAGTTTCTCTATCTCCTGTTTTGCAATTTGCAGTCCTTGATCTTTAATGCATTTTTCTTCTTTGTTCACAATTGGGTTTAGAATCCCTGCTTCTTCATGCTTATCTTGCTCTTGGAATTCCAAGTCCTAGTATACATTTTAAAAATGTAAATTTACTTATAGAAAAGGGGAAATACTATTTAAATATTATAAATTTCTCTTTCATTGTTAGAAATTAAAGCAAAATTTCATCTTTAATGAATCAGAAAATCACAAGTTATCATGCTTTGAAAGATGCTTCAGAAACACATAGGATTATTTCTTACTTTAAATTTCTAAAGAAGCATTTATAAGTGATATCAAAACCAATATAATGGAAGCAAATCCAACATCCTGCACAAAATTCTGAAAAAAAAAAAAAAARTTGCAGAAGCATCTTCATACATTTTCACTACAAAATGTTAACCTGATTTTGTTTAATAGCCATTTCCAGTTAACCAGAAATGGCTATTAAACAATTATGGTAGCCAACTGAGACGTATGTAATTTTTCTTAATAAAAATAAGCTATCTTTATTAGTAAGATTCACTTTCTTTAAGAACAGAGTTCCCTGAGTTTCGACAGGGCACAGGGGCTGCTCTGTTGGATACTACATTTGCTACCTCCCTTGTACCTAGACAAGACCAAAGTGGGTGAGCAGAAGTGTGCATGCAACTTCTGATCACATTTATAAAACAGCTTGCCCTCTAACTTGTTTATTCCCTTTTTTATAGAATGGTAAGCCAGTTCCAAAAATACAGAAGGACTATACTCTAAAATGCAAGACCAGTAAGATAGAGTGACTACCACAAACAAAGTTGTATATACCACCAATCCTGGACTACCCATTTGACTTTAGTCTATTAAAAGAGAAGGGCATTTGTTATCCTACTTTGACCACCATATTTTTCAAAGCAAGTTAACCTGCACTCTAACTAGGCTATCACTTGCTGAGGTCTTTCAACAGTGACCTCAGTCTTAAGAGGCTCAGGCTAAGAGCTTTAGGAACTTCATAATTAGTCATCTTTATAATCCTGAAAATCACTCCCATTTTAAAGATGAGGAAATTGAGATTGAGACTCTAAGGAGTCAAACAACTAAAATGTTAAGAGCCATAATTTTTAAAGCAGATCAAATTCTAAAGCTATATTCTTTTCACAATACCAGGCTGCTGATGCTCCTGATGAATCTTTTTAATACTTCTTAAAATACTGTAAGAATTACTCCATTATTCTCTACCATTTTAAAGACATAACATGATCTGGTCTCAAAGGGTAAATACAGGAAGAAACAGCAAGTACAACTTATGTATCTGAATTTTTCTAAAACAATGAAATTAAAAAGCTAGAATACACCAAGGAACTAAATCAGTCCATTTCTGATTTATACCTTAAGAGATGTCATACACTGGGAAACTTTATAAGGTACAAAAAATATAACATTATATGAAATGTTCTGGATCCCTGAAATACTGTTTTTTTTTTTGAATTGTAAATATTAAAGACAAAACCCTCTTAAAGAAAGGGATCTGCAAGTGATTTAAGATGAAAGTCCTTTTAAATGATACTCTAAATTCCACTTAATTTGAATGGTATGTCAAATTCCATCCTTGTTCAGCATTCAGTTAACCCATAAAATTCTCAGGCCCCAAAATATTACATTTAGTTAAGTTCTAAAAAAAAAAAAAATCACTTGAAACCTTTAGTTTGCTATTAAAATAAATAAAAGCACTGAGGGTTTTCTAAGAATATATAAGCAGATAGAGAAAAATGTATTCCTATTATCTCCAACCTAGAAGGTATGATTAATCTCTCTGTGAAGCAACTGAAAAAATGCAATGTAAACTAAATTTCAATCCAAAGAAATTTAATAAAATGCACAGATGTTACTACCTCTTTCTCTTTAAAAGGCTAGTTGAATATTCATACAGATATAGTACTAGGCTCCACCACTGAATTTTTAAATGTTTGATACTATGTTTTTACGGACAACTTTAAACCCAGAGTTTGGCGCATAATCAAATATAGCTGAACTCACCAAAGTAAGACATTCTGGTTCCTCCCATTTATTTTCACAAATCATCATTGTTTGTGGTGTTACAGGTAATTCTTCCAGCTCACAATCTTCAATGGTTTGTACTTCTTTTGTACACAAGTCTGTAAAATCACTCTGGCATGCAGCTATCATGAAAACAGTACAAGAATTTTTCTAATCCCACTGAACAGTGGTAAGATACATAGAATTCAACTGGTATATATGTTAATCTAAATGAGATACTGCATGTTTTGCTCAGCCCAACAAATGCACATTATTGCTATTTTTGTTTCTAAGATTTATAGGCAATTATGGGATTGGGGGGCAATTCTCACTGTAAATTCTTACTTTTTACAAATTTTTTTTGGTCCTGGAGATTGAACTCAGGGGTATTCAACCACTGAGCCACATTCCCAGACCTATTTTGTATTTTATTTAGAGACAGGGTCTCACTGAGTTGCTTAGTGCCTTGCTTTWGCTGAGGCTGGCTTTAAACTCAAGATCCTCCTGTCTCAGCCTCCTGAGCCACTGGAACCACACCTGGCAACATTTCCAAATTTTATGTTTTAAAACTCTCACAATTCATAGAAGAATTATACTTTCATTTTAAAAAAGAACTATGCATAACAATGCTAAATATTTATAAATGCAATGTCTGGTATTTACTTTAATCTAGCAAAAGCAGCAAAAAGCAGATAAAATAAAATTCTCTCTACTTTGGGTATGTTTATATATTTTCACATGATTCAAAAATTACTATAAGAATTTTTCAAAAAAGCATGTTACTTAATTTTAATGACCTCTCTTCAGGAGAAAAAAACTGACAAGGATTTCTGAAAATTAACTATAACGAAACAAACTAAAAAATTGAATTGAATTTAAATGTATTTCAATGGGGTTGTTTATTGTTCTTTCCTTGTACTTCAAAATTAATTAATTTTATTAATAAATAATAGCTACAGGGGCTGGAATTGTGGCTCAGTGGTAAGGCACTTGTCTAGCATGTGTGGGACACTGGGTTCAATCCTCAGCACCACATAAAAATAAATAAATAAATAAATATTGTGTTAATCTACGAAAAAATATTTTAAAAAATAAATAATAGCTACAATATGAGTTTTCAACAATAATGTCTACTATACCATTCTTCCTTGGTGTAATTTCTTTTTCTTTCTTTAGAAAGGACTTTGGCAGGCGATTAGAATATATGTTTTTTATGTCCAGTTCTCTCTCCTTTTCCTGAAAACAAATCCATATACAATGAAGTGAGGGTGTGTGTCACTTTGCCAATCAACATTTTCCTTAACAAACTGAAATAAACCTAGAGTTCAGCTTCCTTTTTTAACTACCAAGTAGAAAAAAAATGTCTCTAGCACATTTAGATTAGGGAAGAGTAATGCTTTTTCCTATGAAGTCCAATGTTCTTGACCATTTTGGGACTATGACTCTGAAAATTTGATTAACAAAAAGAAAATTACGTAAGATAATAAATGATTTTGCACAATTCTGCACAAAATTTCAATCCATCATTGATCAGATAAAATTAAGAATGTGCTTTAACAACATTAAATAATTTGAATGATTCTTCTAAACACTATGAAAATCATGCGACCTTGATCTTCTGAATTTGACTTATTTCACTTAACAGAATGGTTTCTAGTTCCAAGAATTTTCCTGCAAATAACATAATTTTATTTTTCTTTATGACTGACTAAAACTCCATTGTGCATATATACCATATCTTTATTCATTCATTCATTGATGGACACCTAGACTGGTTCCATACTTTGCCTATTATGAATTGTGCTGCTTTAAACAAGGGTATGGGTGTATCATAGGAAAATATGTAAAAGTCATAAATTCTTTAGAATAAATACTGAGGAAAGGTGTATTTGGGTAATGTGGTGGTTCCACGCCTAGACTTTTGAGGAACCGTCATACTGATTTCCATAGTGGGGTATACTAATTTATAATTCTACCAACAATGTAAAAGTAGAACAGAGATTATTTAACCAGGCAATAAAAATGCTAGTTCTTTCTACAGTTTTCTTCCAGGATTTAACAATTATTTTACATTATTCTTACTGTTTTACTTTGTATAATTATATCAAAACATTTTCTATCTAAGCACCAAAGATAATAACAGAATTTTATAAATTATACAATACCAACCTAAAAACATGAATAGTAAGAATGTTTTCAAATATTGGGTTTTCATCAAGTTTATATTACAGAGAAAATAATGCCATTTAATGTAAAGTGCTTACTTTTAATTTGTGATACAGTCGTTGTAACTCCTTTTGAAGAACTTTGTTTTCATCCTGAGCCTCATATGCCCTTTTCCTTTCAGCAAGCAACTGTCGTTGAAAACTGTTAGTACTTAGTTCAAGGTTTTTCGATAATTCCTAGGTGTACAAACATATTTCAAAAACAGTATTAATTAAAAGAACCCAATTGTAAAACACAGCACTTAGAGGTGTCAAAATGTTTTTAGTGATCTAATTTTAGACATAAAATTAGGCTGGCTGGACTTGGTCTTCATGAATGTAAAATAAACTGGGAAATAGATTTACCAACAATTTAATAAGATACCTACTTAATTATTTCTTTTAGCATTTTTCACAGTGATTTTTTAAATGTATTCTTAAGCATTTGAAGCATGCACACATAGAGCAAAAGACAGCCAAAGAATGGGATAAGAAGCATAGGCTTTCAGAAATCACTGCTTAGGCAAGGTGCAGAGTACAGAACACATCTCTAGATAAAAACTACAGCTATTACCATTGTCTTTAAATATCTCCCGTGAAGTTTATGAAAGTATTTAGGCTAAAATATTTTCTTTTAAAATAATATGTCAGGCTGAGTTGTAGCTCATTGAGAGAGTGCTTGCCTAGCACATGTGAGACACTAGGTTCAATCCTCAGCATCACATTAAAAAAAAAAAAATGGGTCACGATACCATTCCTAACTCTGAATGGGAAAAAAAAAAACATGCTTTGTATATGCAAAAAAGTATTATAAAATCACAAAGAACATGCCTGTAATCCAAGTGGCTCAGGAGGCAGAGGCAGGAAGATAGTAAATTCAAATTTCAAAGCCAGCCTCAGCAACTTAGCAGGGTCTCACCGAGTTGCTTAGGGCCTTATCTCTAAATAAAATATCAAAAAGGGCTGGGGATGTATTCAGTGGTTAAGCACCCCTGGGTACAATTACAGTATACTTTAAGATACTATAAAACTACAAATAAAATCAGAAAATAAAACAGTTATAATCCCATTATCCTGTGATCATGATTGTCAACATTTTAGTGTACATAATTTATGACTTTTACATATTTTCCTAATATAAATGCCTAAGCCAACAGAATTTAATATAATCTTTAAATGGAATACTTTTCTATCTTCTAGACTATCATAACTTGTAAGTTCTGCTATTCACCACTAATGTGTTCCAATTTTTTCTATAGTGAATATCCTTGCATATATAACTTCAAACATATGTTTTATTATTTCCCCAGGGTAAATATTAAGAAAGAAATTTTCTTGGACTTTATTGAAATTAAGAATCCTCCTCTTTGAAAGAAACTGTTAAGAGAATGAAAAGATAAGCCATAGTCTGAGAAAAATATGTACAAATCATATGCTACAGTACATATCAAAGAAAAATGTGTATGTATATATGTATGTGTTACAAAATTCAGTAATTAGAAACTAAACAGCTCAGTTTAAAATGGAGGAAATATTTGAATAGATAAGTCACCACAGAATATATAGAGACAAGCACAAAGAATGATGCCTCAATATCATTAGCCATAATGTATGCAAATTAAAGCCATATGAAACAATATTTACTATTAAAATGTCTGAAACTCGAAAAACTAAGCACACAAAATGTTGGCAACGATGAACAGCAATCAGAACTCATACACTTTGGGTTGAAATATAAAATGGCATAATCATTTTTAAAAATTGGGGCAGTAAACATATACTTACTATGTCATTTCACACTTAGGTCTTGCCCAGAGAAATAAAAGTCAATCTCCAAAACTTTTGCATGATTGTTCATACTACCTTTATTTATAATGGTCCCAAACTAGAAACAACACAAATGTCTACCAACAGATTAATGAATACTTAAAAAGTGGTATATTTCTATTATTCAGCAATAAAAAGGATGAACAATTAATACATGCAACAATRTATTAGAATCTCAAAATAATTTTGCTGAATGAAAGAAGCCAGGCATTAAACAATGCATACTGTATGCCTCCACTAAATATAAATTAATTTATAAGGACAAAACAATGAGCTAAATATAGGTGGTAGGGATTGGTAAAGGGACAGCAAACAAAGAGACATTTGGAGAATACTACATATGAGAAAAGGCAGTGGCACAGCAAAAGAAAGAAACAGCCCATCACTTGCTGCCCGATTCACATCCAGAGGAGGGGAAGTTTCCCCTCTGCAGGAGGAAAAGTAAAAATCCCAGCAAACTGACAGCTCAGCCCAAATAGCAAAGACACATGAAATATGCACAGTAGTAAGGTTTTGGAAAAGAAATTCATTGCATTTAAGAGGGAAACTTCAGGAGACATCTTGAGAAGGGATCTATTATTTGAATTTAGACTGTTTAGGGCTCAGAATCCCTGCATATTCCTATCCTTGGGACCCACAAACAACTCATGGCATTGGCTCTGCTGGTGGCTGCTGCCTAAGCCAGACTTGGCTAAGTAAGTGACACAAAATTTAGAGTGATGTATGGTGGGGAATGGATGTTGAGGCATGGAAGTGAAATGAGTGCCATCTCTAAAATCAGGGAGATGGGAAGCCTGTCCTTAGACCAGARGCACTGCCACTTATGTTACCCAGCTCCTATTATGAACTATTCCCCCACGATATCTGTCAAGCACTACAAAGAATGGGGCACACAGCCTAAGAAGAGTCAGAGAGAAACTTTGCCCAGCACTGGCTATATTCACCTCTCATTTTCTCCTGCCCAGTATCTCTTGTCAGGGGTGATCCACTTACCCTTGATCCCTGATGGGCACTATTAAGAAAGTGAGGGGAGGGAAGAAAAGTCCTTATTGTTGCCCTGTTTCTAGATATGCACAACTGCATGGGGGATGGGGGTTTGTCTGTAGTCCCATTCCTAGTGGGCATGCCCACAGTAGCAGCCAAGAGGAAAAACAACTATTTCATCCACAGAACTAATGAACACAGAAAAAAATTTCAACTGCAGGAAGCCATCTGTGAATTACATGAGGGTCTTCTCTCCTATGGTAGCCAGGAGATTTAGGTTTGGCATTGAGAATTATTTATTGCTCTCCCAAGGCAATAAATTACCCAATGCATGTGACCTTTATCTCCAGTCTGCTAGGAAGACACCTCATAGTAGCTCAGGAGATGGGCATAACCAATTGGGAACTGAATAGCCACAAAGAAAGACACTGAAAGACAAGCTACATGTACTCTCTCCTATATCAAATTTTTAAAAAAGCCAGCCTGAAAGCAGAATAGTGATTACTGGGAATGGTTTGTTGAGAAAAGAGTTAAGGGTGGATGAAGGGTAGATGGAAATGATGAATTTATGCTGTATGCATATACAGAAATATCACAGTGAATCCTACATGGTAATAAAAATAGATATTAAAAAACTTAATGACAACAAATACAGAATCTGAAATAAAATAAACATAATAAATAACTAAAAATGAAATGTAAGACATGAATCTATTTATAAACTATTAAACGAATAAGTTGGAAAAAATAAAGACAAAAATAAACTTCTGAATAAACATTAAATTCACAGGGTTTTGAAGGTAAAAATCCAAAAAATTTTAAGAAACAGATATAGCTATCTTTTATAATTTGAAGAAAAGGAAGAGGAGGAGGAGGAGAAGTAAGAAGAGTGATGAGGAGGAGAAAGACCTATAAAAAATCATTCTTGGTGAGAATTTTTATAACTTTTTTTTTTTGGCAGTGCTGGGGCTTGAACTTAGAGCAAGTGATTGATTGTTAGGCAAGTGATTGACCACTGAGCAATACCCCCAGCCCAGAATTTTTATAATCTTGATGTCAAAAGTGTATAAGAAATATTATATATGCTAATTAATTAAATGAATACATCTACAACTGCCAATATTACTAAATCACAAAAAAGTAGATAAGGATAGCTTAAAGTAAAATCACAGACCATTCTTATACATGAATATTGTTGCAAAAATCCCATATATTAGCAAAAAGAATTAGGCAATGAATAAAAATTACATCTTACTAAATACATCAATTCCAAGAAAGCAAAGAATCAAAGTAGTTTATTATGTGACTGGGCATGGTGGAACATTCCTGTAATCCCAGATACATAGGAGGCAGAAGCAGGAGGATCACAAGCTTAAGGCCAGTTTCAACTTAGCAAGACCCCGTTTCAAAGTAAAAATAAAAAGGCAGGGAATGGAGATCAGTGGTAAAGCATCCTGGGTTCAATCCCTAGTATCAAGGTCACAGGGGGGAAATCTAAATGTAATTTGCCATGTTAATGAGAAAAAAACCACATTATTTTAGTAGGAAAAAAAAAGCATTTCAACATATCATTTAAAATAATTATTCTGCATATACACAAACATACAGATGAATACTTACATAAGGCACACATTAATGGAGGGAAATATCCAAGATACACAATAAGAAGCTAAAAGTGGTTATCTCCAGCTGATAAGAATGTTACTTTTTCTTTTTCTTTTTTTGGTGATGCTAGGGATCGAACACAGGGCCTTGTGCATGTAAAAGCAAGCACTCTACCAACTAAGCTATATCTCCAACCCCTATTTTTTCATTTTCAATAAATTTATGCTACTTACTAATGCACATGTACTACTTATGGAAAATAAAATATAATTTCGAAAAATATGTTCAAATAAAAACTACAATGGCTAGGAAGGAAACATCTAACAGCTTCAGGGAAGCAGTTACTTCTGAGGCAGAAGAATAGAAGGCTGTTTGGAGAAAGGACACAGGGGAACTTTAATATCTTATTTTTAAAAATAAATTCTAAGGCAAAAGTAGAAAAATATCAAATAGGAACATGAAACCTTTAAATATTCTCTTTTTCCATATGTTCAAAATATTCCATATATGGGAAAAAAGTTGAAATTACTTTAAGAAATAAAAAATACTGAATGGAGAAAAGAAGAAAATGCAAATGGTAGTTATCTTTGGCTGGTAGGACTAAGAGTATTTTTCTTATTACTATACTATAAATTTAAAAATGTCTTGAAACAAGAGAAAAAATTTTAAGGTACTTCAAAACTTTTTTTCCAAAATAATATCACAGAATTGTTACTATTTAACAGAAATAAAGAATTAACATAACAATTTTTTTACAAACTCAAAGGATATTAGATTTTACC